TATATATATATATATATATATATATATGTGTGTGTGTGTGTGTGTGTGTGTGTGCTGTACACTGCATTGCATTGCATTTCTTGCACAAAATAAACAATGAAATAAATAAATATATGATTACAAATCGTATATACGTGCATATATACGTATGTACCTCCCTATACGTATACATATTATTTTACGACCATTCTGTTTATTTCATTGATAGATTAATATAACAAATTGATTGGAAGTTACATATATTTGGTTATTAAAAGGAAAATAGTAACGTAATCCTCTTTCACTCGGCTTGCTTCTTCTTCTTCTTCTTCTTCTTTTTAACCTCTCTGTTGTGTAAAAAGATAGAGGATCGTAAACATGGAAATGTCTCGTCGGAATTAAATTTGAAATCAGCGGACCATGAAATCCAATAAATGCTCCCATCAAATAAAACTAACTATATATATATATATATTTATTTATACAAGTAAACTGATATCGTGGTCCGTTGTTGCTTATTGGGTGAATTAAAAATGTGTAAAATTAATCTCATTAAAACTGTAATAAGAAACTAAAAAAATTTTATGGGATAAACGATTATACGTTATGGTTATGGATCAATAGTGACAGTGAAGGAGAGGAAGAAGGGGAAGTCAGAACGGAAAACACGTGAGAGAGGTTGGATCTCGTGAGACCAAACCGACGGACGATGATCCCAAAACCGGACAACCACTCAATACATATGTATGTATGTATGTATGTATGTATGTATGTATGTATGTATGTATGTATGTATGTGACGAAAGAGACATCACACATAATGTTATTACTCAATAGGGGCATTACGTACTCTGCCAAGATTAAGATTGGTCGAATGTTATAACGTTATTTAAACCTCTCGTATCGTATACCACCTGTTGTCCCAATTAATTCCCGCCGTATTTTATTTTATTTCATTCATTGATGAAATTATTATAATTATTATTTTCATTTTTGGGCATTGTTTTTATTAGTTTAAATTTGTGTATTGCTGCTGTGGTGCTGTGCTGCCTGCTGCAGCGGGAAACATCAAGAGCTCGTCTTATCTCCCATGATTGGTCGAACTTGATGTGAAAATTACGTTCTCTATTTTTTTTTTACTTTTTTTATACGTGCATAATTCGGACATATTGTTTTGCTGTTTTTTTTTTTTCATGATTACTGTTTGCTGTCCCTTACGACAATAAATATTACAATGTCAAAAAATAACAGAATCAAATAAAGGCTTTTTCCGTGATAACAATGGGCTTTAGCCCAAAAAGCCCAACAAATCAAAACGTGGGCCAAATAAGACCTTCTGGATCATTCAGCTCTTTTTACATTTTGAGCTCGAGTAAAGTGTTATTGGTATTTAAAAAAAAAACACAAAAAAAACTGGAGACAATTATTTGCACTCGAATCTTATTGGCCACATATTTCCATATTAATATAATTTCATAGGATGATTATTGAGAAATAATATCTCTGAATTTGCACGTCGATGCATTAGGAAAAATCAAACAGATGATGTGTTCAATTAAAAACATGAATTACAACAATGTAACGCCATGAAAACAAGGGAAGAGACCTTCACCACCAAACCAGAAACGTAACAAAAGATTTGCCAAGAAGACATCAAGAAACAGAGGGAAAAAGTACCAAAGTACAGAACGAGCAACTAAACGACAAGACCCGACAATGATCCGGCCAAGGACAGATTCAACGACCGATTCGAGAGCTTGAAAAAGTAACAGAAGCTCGACTGCAGCTACCAGAAGAGGTAGAGGCTTCATAAGTGGCAAGAGGCATTTTGGGAGGGAGATTAGGCAATGGCGCCTCGAAATTCAGAACCTGTATGGCTTGCTTCATGGAAGGCCTTGAGCTTCTGTTCGGATGGGCACACCACAAGCCCACAACCATGAGCCATTCCGCCTTCATCCTATCGAAATCGCTGCCTAGTTTCTGATCGATGGCCGAAACGAGTTCTCCTCTTCCGTACAGGTTCCATACCCTCTCCACTAGACTTGTTTCTGGCTCTATCTTTCCTTGTCTCGGGTCAACTGATTTCCTCCCGGTCACAATTTCAAGCGTGACGACTCCATAACTATATATGTCGGATTCCTTGCTCGCCCTTCCTGTGCTTATGTACTCAGGAGCCATGTAGCCGAACGTTCCAGCCAGCCCTGTTGTCTGCGGACCTAGCTCATGGTCCATCAGCCGAGCCAGCCCAAAATCACCGAGTTTTACATTGAAGTTAGAATCCAGCATTATGTTGCTTGGCTTGATATCCCTGTGTACAACACATTGCTCCCACTCCTCGTGCAGATATTGTAGAGCAGAGGCTAGGCCGAGGGTTACCTTATACCTTACAGCCCAAGCTAGAGGTGCCCTTTTCCCGAACAGATGGGAATCGAGGCTACCGTTTGGCATGAACTCATATACAAGTAGGAACTCGTCTTTTTCATGGCACCAACCTATGAGTTGCACCAGGTTCCGATGTCTCAAGCCGCTGATGATCTTGACTTCGGTTATGAATTCTTTCATTCCCTGATTAGATCTGCCTGCAAACTTTTTCACGGCAACCATCATATCGAATTCGTTTAAATACCCTCTATAAACTGCTCCAAACCCTCCTTCACCCAGCTTCCTTTCGTCCAAGAAGTTGTTGGTAGCCGATGCTAGTTCCTTATAAGAAAATCTTCTCGGTCCTGCTCCTCGTTCGAGATCTTCATTGATTGATACCAAGTTTATCGCATCTCTTGCTCTCTTCTTTCTCTGTTTCCGTCTCTGGAAAGCCACTAATATCCCGACCAAAGAAACCAGTAGCACAAATGCTGAAACCGAAACACCAACTATCATCCCCGTCCTGTTAGGGGTTTCCTCTATATCCTCTATACTAAACTCCCACGATAAAAGTTTATGTAACTCTTTGTTGGATCCGGTAGCAGCTGAAAACCCAACTGTAACTTTCTTAGGCAGAACCTTGGCAAGATCAATGATGTAAAACAGACTCGAAGCCTCTCGAGGATCAGCTGACAGTTCATAAGTCCAAGATACGCTCAAGTTACTGGTAGCAGAATCATATGAAACCCGTGCATGACATATATCTTTCATGTGTGAACTTGCATTCCAAGAAGTGTAACTGTAGGATTTAAGTGAATCGACGTTGATTCCCACATGAGATTCAACACCAATAGGATCCCATCTTTGATTGTGATACGTGTCGAATTCGATATGAACAAGCGGGAACAAAGAGTTGTAGTTATTAGACCGATTAAACAGACCAAAGAACGCAGCAGCTGAGTTGGGTGGGATTTGGACTCCCACAGGTGCAAGAAAGAAAATGAGGCCATGACCGTATTTTGGATTGTCTAAGTTGTCAATTATGAAGGAGAAACTGGTGCTAAAACTGAGAGCCTTACCCGATCCTGGGTCCAAGATAGGCACCTTCCCGGTAAAGGTGGCCCAACCAACTCGAGCAGGATCAACCATAGTTGTAAAGTCAATGGCCCCGTTAGGTGTTGCATCCCCTTGGTAAGCAATTTCCTTTGGATCACGTGGCCTGAAACTGGTAAAGTTAAACTCAAGTGAATGAACGAAAGGGATAACGAGAAGAAAGGGAAAGAACAAGGTCGGGTTGGACATTGTGCTGTCAGGGAAAGAAGGGAAAGGACAAGATCAAGATAGCATATTCACCTCGTGGAGGGCTTTCATTTCACAGAAAATAGAAAAAATAAGCTTACCTGAGAGCCAATTCAACCGAAGATGGCTATATTTTAAGAAATCGTTTTCTCCGAAACACGGTTATCCTTTCTTAATATGTACCTTCAGCTATTACGAAAGGAAACGAAATGTTTCAAGCAACCAAAACACTTGACCTTGTGTATAAACATATACATATCTCAAACCAAAACAGTGACATGAAATAATTTAAAAAGTAGACGACTGTTTGAGTCTTCTTATTAAATGTTAAGGTATACATTATGGCTTATATGTTTTTTAGCTCCTCAGAGTATTTTAGCGATAAGCAACGAAGGATTTAATGTTCAAGCATTTCGTTGATTAAATAAAGACCATAGGTTTTTTAAAGTCTCCAGGGGAAAAAGGAGCAGACTTTGGATCAGTAAACCTCGAAGAAAGAAGGCATAACAAAAGTTCAGAGTAGGCTAAACATTAGCATTGAACATAACCTCCATGAACATGTCAACACCATTCATTGAGCAAGTCCCTTATGAACATGTCAACGTGAAATAAGCAAACATAAACAGATTTATTGATGGATGGATTGTTTGCAAGGTAAGGATAATACCTGAAAGAGGATGGAAGGATTGACCGGAAATGCCACCATCTTTGTCGTGTGCTTCAGCAAAATTTCTGTCGTTGGTCCTCTGTTTTCGTTTTCATTTCCCCTGTTTTCTCTCCTGCGGCAGTGAAAAGGTATCTGGAAAAGTCATGTGCTTTTTAAGCTTTCTTCTTTCGCTGAAGAAACCATCTTTATCAGATCATTATCGACCATCGATTCTTTGTTTGTTTTCCTCTCGCTTCTCCTCCATGAAAATGGGGAAAGAAGAAGGGACAAAACCCCATCTTTGGATACTAAACCCTAAACCCACACAGTGGCATTTTATCGAACATGTGGCAGGTGTCTGCATTCATCTCCTCCCATACCTTCAATGGGTTTTGAAAATCCGTCTTCAACAAAGGTCCTACTCCTACGCCATTGCCCTTAACTCTCGACTGCGAAGATACTCTCGTTTGCTCCCGTTTTTCTCTCTCTCTCGTTTTCATGGAAGCAAGAAGCGTGAAACTAGAAAGAACAGAAAACCCCAAAAATCTCCATAGCCGTAGTTAATCCTCTTCCGCGGGGACGTGTACCTGTCTTCTAGGTAAATGACTAAAGTACCCCTCAACACACGAGGTTGACTCACAGTATTGTCAGTTGAGCCTATCCAACTGAAAGACAATACTTGGACGTGACAAAAAAAAAGGCAACATTTTTTTTTCGAGAAAAAACAGCTACGAACCAAAAGAGGAACCCCTCGTCTCAGTTCTCAAACGGCAAGAAACGAACTTGTTTACAATCCCAAACATTCTTCTGAACAAGAAAGGCTTGTGTGTGTAAGGATAGCTTTACAGACTTGTGTGTATATATATCAATCTGGCATTTATCAGCGACCCACTTGATGGCTGGAAAACGTTACAGAAGCTCTACTGGAGCTAACCGAGAAAGGAGATGACACATAATACACAGCTACTGGCATTTTGGGTGGGAGATTAGGCAAAGGCGCTCCAAAGTTCAGAACTTGGATCGCTTGCTTTATGCAAGGCCTTGAGTTTCTATCAGGATGAGCACACCATAATCCCACAACCATCAGGCATTCGGCTTGCTCCCTATCGAAATCTTCTCCAAGTTTCTCGTCAATGGCTGAAGCAAGTTCTCCTCTTTCGTACAGATCCCAAACTCTCTCCACAAGGCTCTTTTCTGGCTCGGTGTTTCCTCCTCTTGGGCCAACCGACTTTCTTCCCGTGACGATTTCTAGTATAACGATTCCAAATCTATATATGTCCGCTTCCTTGCTTGCCCTTCCTGTCATTATGTATTCAGGAGCCATGTAACCGAATGTTCCTGCCAGGCCTGTTGTCTGGGACCCTAGCTCATGGTCCATCAGCCGGGCCAACCCAAAATCACCTAACTTGATGCTGAAATCAGAGTTGAGCATTATGTTACTCGCCTTGATGTCTCTGTGAACTACGCATTGTTCCCATTCCTGATGAAGATAAAGCAATGCAGAGGCTAGACCTAATGTTATCTTATACCTTATGGCCCATGAGAGATGGGGTCGTTTCCCGAATAGGTGGGAGTCGAGGCTTCCGTTTGGCATGAACTCGTATATCAGCAAGTACTCATCTTTATCATGACACCAGCCGATGAGTTGCACCAGATTTCGATGTCTCAACCTGCTGATGATCTTGACTTCAGTTATGAACTCTTTTCTTCCCTGTTTAGAGCTTGCTGCTAATCTCTTCACTGCAACCACCAAATTTGAGTCATTTAAGCAACCCCTATAAACCGCTCCAAACCCTCCTTCACCCAGCTTCCTTGAATCCGAGAATTTGTTGGTGGCAGATGCAAGAGCTTTATAAGAAAATCTCCTCGGTCCTGCTTCCCTTTCGAGATCTTTGTTGATTGATGTCAAGTTCTCTGTCTCTCTTGTTTTCTTCTTTCTTTGCTTCTCCCTCCAAATGACCATGAACGCAATGACCAAAGAGATCAGCACAACAAACCCAGAAACTGAAACTCCAACTATTACTGCTGTCCAGTTAGGGGATTCCTCCTTTATATCCAGACTTGAACTAAAACTCCATGATAAAAGTCTATGGCTTTCTGTGCTCGATCCAGTAGAAGCGGAAAATCCGATTGTAACTTGTGGTGGCAGAACCTTGGCAAGATCAATGATGTAAAACAGACTTGAATTCTCTCGAGGATCAGAGGTCAGATCATAAGTCCAAGAGACACCCAAGTTATTAGCAGCAGAATCATATGAGATACGTGCATGACATGTGTCCTGGCTGTGCAGGCTCGCGTTCCAGGAAGTGTAAGTAGAAGAAACAAGCGAATTATTGTTGATCCCCACATGAGACTGGACATTAAGAGGATCCCATTCTGAATTTTTAAATGTGTCAAACTCGATATGAACAAGTGGAAAGGAAGATGAGGAATTATTGGTACGAGAGAACAGACCCAAGAAACCAGTGGCTGAGTTGGGAGAGAGTTGGATTCACACAGGAGCAAGAAAGAAGCAGAGCCCATGACCGTACAGCGACTTGTTACCGGTATCGATTATGAAGGAGAAAGTGGTATCGAAATCAGAAGGCTTACCGGATCTAGGATCCCACATAGGCACCTTCCCAGCATAAGTAACCCAACCAACTCGAGATGTAAATACAGCATCGGTCAACTCAACGGTCCCATTGGGTGTTGCATCTCCCTGATAAAGTAAGTCCTTGGGATTACCTTCCCAAAACCTAGAAAAGTTAAATTGAAGTGAATCAACAAAAGGGAGACCCAGAAGAAAGGAACAGAACAAGATTGAGTTGGACATTGTGAATTGCCTGCCAAAAAACAACAACAGACCAAGATTACACAATTTAAAAGCGAGCAGTTATAGCTGAGAGCCAACTCATCTGAAAACTGAAACAGTGTCCTAAACAATCACGAAAATTTGACTTTGGTGTATAAACAAATCCCATGTCAACAAAAGAAATGTCTTTCATTCTTCCTGGAAGAACTAAAAAATAAGTGATATCATATTCGAATATGACATAAATTGTTAAAGCAAATGGAAGGAGGTTTACATGATAATATTAAATGAAAGGTACATTTCATACCTCATATTATAAGTTACTCATCAAGAGACAAGAATTAGAAGCGATAAGCATGATGAATTCAACAACTGAACACGTCGTTATCAATGAAAGACCATCATTTTCCCGAGTCTTCTGGTGAATTCGTACCTCGAAGTACTAAGGTTGGAGAAATGTTCAAAGGAGACCAGCTCAGCTCACAATTTCAGTTGTTACTCACAAACCAACCAATAAAGCATTGATGCAAATCCCTGCAGTAGAATCTGTTTACAATGGAGTAACATTAGTTATCGAGAGAAATCACTGATAGGAACTCAGGAATAGTATAAGAGAATTCTGTTTGTAAAGGAAATGGCAGAAACCCTCTTTTCTCTGTGGTTTGACCTCCAGATGAAGAACTGGGTAATACAAAGATAAAATCACATAACTTTGACCATTCATAAATTTTTGAAAACGAAAAGATACACAATTCATTAGTGAAAAGCTTACAAAGATCTGCCATACCAACAGATGTAAAGCACACAGAAGAATGGGCAACTAAGGATATACACAGCAGCACGAACAGTAGCAAACAGATGCATGACAAGACTATAGACACAACAAAAGGATACACTCCACGTAGATTTATATCAGAGCTACAAATCCAGTGAGGATTGTAACCGTTGTCATTGTCCTCAGCGGCCAATTTGAGCGCTTGAAAATGTGGCCGTACCTCCACCAGAGCTAACAGAAGTAGTCGAAGAAGACGAGACATGATGATATGTGGCAACTGGCATTTTCGGCGGCAGCTTAGGCAACGGTGCCTCGAAATTCAGGACTTGGATCGCTTGTTTTATCGAAGGCCTCGAGCTTCTGTCAGGGTGAGCACACCATAAGCCGACAACCATAAGACATTCTGCTTGTATCTTATCGAAATCATCCCCGAGTTTCTCGTCAATGGCAGACACAAGTTCTCCTCTTCCATACAGGTCCCATACTCTCTCTACAAGACTCGTTTCAGGCTCGATCTTTCCTTGTTTCGGGTCAACCGATTTTCTCCCTGTGACGATTTCGAGTGTAACAACTCCAAAGCTATATACGTCGGATTCCTTGCTCGCCCTGCCCGTGCTTATGTATTCAGGAGCCATGTAGCCGAATGTTCCTGCCAATCCCGTTGTTTGGGGACCCAGCTCATGGTCCATCAGCCGAGCCAATCCAAAATCACCAAGTTTGACATTGAAATTTGAATCCAGCATTATATTACTCGCCTTGATATCTCTATGCACAACACATTGCTCCCACTCCTCGTGCAGATAAAACAGAGCGGAGGCTATACCGAGAGTTATCTTGTACCTTACAGCCCAAACGAGGTGCTGTCTTTTCCCAAATAGGTGAGAGTCGAGGCTATTATTCGGCATGAACTCGTAAATCAGCCGGAACTCATCCTTCTCAGGGCACC